ACGGACCAGCTTGGAAAGTCATCATAGATGAACTTAACATACCACCCACTGTATTCGCGTCACCCACTGTCCATGTACTCTAAAAAGCGGGAAAGGTGTGCAGGGTGACACACGGACCGGAGGGGTTCCGGGTAGCAAACCTCTGACACATCCCAGGGTTGTGATCTTGTCCAAGAATCACAAACTCCGTCTCGTGAAAGGCCATCAGAGGGGTTACTCTCAGAGTCATATCCACTCGATCCAAACACGAATTTGAAATCGTTGAAATAAGAAATGGGCCACCTGAACCAGGGTATGGACATCGATCTGGGAGCTGGAGCCACGGATAAGTGAAGCCACAGCTGCTTCATTATCGATAAACCACAAGATATCCTGGTGTCGCAAGGTGGCTCCATGGAACCAAGGTACTAAAAGTCCACAAAGAGTTTCACCTGGATAAATTTGTTGCGTGCGGGCAGTCCAGGACTGAATCACCGCCTGGGGGACAACACAGGTCACCCCTTGTGGGCGAGGGGACTGGCCAAAGATAACCCAGCCAACTCGAAGGACCTCATGTTCGAAGGACGCATCCGAGTAAACCAGGATTGGTTGGCGCGGGGACGCCCTGACAGCAACATCTCGAGGCCCTGGGCAAGTGACCAACGCGACCAAAAGCCGGAGGGTAACACTATCCTCAGGGGAGAGACTAGGGGAGTCAGCATGCTGTAAAGCAGTAAGCGTAGGTCCAGCGATCCTACCTGCTTGGCCTGCACACATGCTAAACATCCAGTTGAGGTCACCTCTGAGCTTGCCAGCGTCGTCTGGAGACAGATTGTTGGTAGCTAGAGCAAGGTGAAGTTTAGCTAATACCTTTCTCTGGGTGGTGAACTTGGGTTGGAACCGAATCGATCCCAAAGAAACAAAATCTCCAACATGTACTGATGTACCAAGGTAGTGACGGTTCCGCCCAGGGGCAAATGATTTGGACGCTTGCGGTGGCGCTCCCATAAGTTGAAAAACAAGCTGGAGTCCGCGCTGCGAGACATCCGCATGGTGAACAAAATCAACCGCAAGTTCATCATCAAAGTAAGCAGCACAAAGAGACAGGGTACAGCGTCTGGCAATCGCGATACCCAACTGGGGAAATCGGTTGAAGCTGACAACTGCACTCTCTAGTCCGTAAGCCAGCCCGTACATGGTGGTAAACCGCCAGCCTTCGTCAGGGACGAAAATGGCCACATTGGAGAACCGCAAATGGTCGTCTTGGACTGGCAAGCCTCGATAGGCATCAGGCAAATCATCTGTGGCCAATCTCAAGTCTAGCCAATCGGGAGGGTCGGACCAAAGGGTCTCCAAGGTGGTATTGACCATGCGAGCAACGGAGGCAACAAAATCAACGTTAACGGTCGAAATGGTCTCCTGCATGGAGGTATGCATGTTATGGCCACTCTTGCGGGCATTATCAATGACCCTCTGTTTTCCATCAGGCTGAATAATAAGAAAACGCTCCACTGCGCGCCAGCCGCCAACGCCAAATTGATCATTCATTTCCTGCATAGTTCGTAGTGGGCTGCAAAAACCCTTAATGATCTCATCTTGAGTAACGGCCAAAATTTCCGGGGCGTGCAGGGGGGGGTCGGCTACGGATCAACCGCTGTACCTCCTCTTCGGCGGATGGACCCAGCCAATCAGCCAAAGGGAGTTTATCAGCTTGTTGGATACCTCGGAACACCCCAGACGGCGGAAGGGACCCAACAATAGCGAACCCCTGGACAAGTTGGCGGGCCATATCACGGTCCGGCCACCGCAGGAGGCATGCCATGGTTGCAACAAAAGCAGGCTTTTTAACATGCGCTACTTTGTTGGCACTAGTACACCTTACCGCCGCAAGGCACGGGTTCAGGATCTGCACAGCTTTTTCCACAGCCTTCAGAGTATGCCGCAGCCTTTGGCTGTAAACTGGGAGAAACTGCTGCCAGACACCCAGTGCCTGGACCACAAATGAGACGTCAGGTTCAGGCCAATCGTGAGGATGGAAAGGCGACGGGAGTTGCATAGCCTGCTGCACATGTTCATCCTTGCCCAACCCCGG